CTTTCACATGCCAGCACATGGCCCTTGTAAGCCTTCAGGGTTGGGGGCGAAAAGGGGGGGGGGTGTTGGCTTTTGCGAGCAGTATGTACATTAATTCCAATGTAAAGAGCTGCAGTAAATCACTTAATGCCTGAATCAAGTTAGTTGTTGTTGTTTTGGTGAATTGGGATCATATTCGGGACTATAATAACCTAATAATGGACAGTGCAGGCATAGACCACACTGTAATGTATATTGTAGGGGAATATGGTAATAGTCTGAAATGGCAATTCTCCTAAATAAATAGCACATCAACTTACTTAAACCTAATCATAAATGGGACAAATTGGACCCATGTGCAAACAGAAACCTGAGCAGAACTCAGGAGTTAAAGAAGCCATTGTTTCCCAGCCTGACCCTGGGCAGAGAAAGCCTGTGTCAGGTTACATCTGTTAAAATGATTCTAATGCCAGCCCAGTATTTTAATTATAAATGTATAAAACATTTAATAAGAAGACATTCTGGGCTTACTAAGCCTTTAAAAACTGGATGTGGGTGGAGTGGGTAGAATGGTATTCCATGTGCCCCAGACTGAGTGCCAGCGTATAATGATTGAATGTTTTCCTGTAATAAATTGAAAAAATCTGGTTTGTAAGAATGGATCCAAATCACTTGGCATTAGAAAGGTAATTTGTTACCTAGCTTCCTCTTGGAAACGGGCTGCTTCCAAGTTTGCTGGAACTTAGTTTCTAGGGACTGCGGTGCCCAAAAAGAGAAAGAAAGAGCAACCAGGATGCTCAGGGCTCTGATGTTAAAACACACACACACATGCACGCATGCACACACACTGTTTTCTCTGCCTCTCTGGGTTTCTTTTTCCCTCCCCAGTTTTTCAGTCCTCCCTCTCATGGCTCCAAACCCAGGATTCAGCAGCCAAAAAAAGAGGGGAAAAAAAAAAATAGGTTACTCAGGACAAAAGCCAGATCTATAGCCACCTTCTTTGTACCTTTCCAAATCTCAAGCCTGCTTAATTATGATTAATTGCCACATGGATAATCAGATACAGTTTCAAAAGGTTGGAGATGACAGTCCAAGGACACCAGGGAAGAAGGAAGGTTCGCCTTTGTTACAAGCAAAAAGAAAAAAACCCCGCACAGGTCCCTTCCTCAGCCCATAACCTTTTCTTATTTTAACAATTCCAAACGGAATTAATACCATCAGTATATTGTTCCCGCTCCTGGGAATTGAACTTCAACTGTACAATTTCTGCAGCTGTCAGTTTTTTCAGCCCTCCTGTCAATAACGCAATGTTGGGGTGCCCTTCCTCTTGAATGAAAGCAGTTTCAAGTTTCTGCTTTATGTCTGTGCTTTCTGGGTGGTGTGACATGATGAGAAAGTATAAGAAATAATAACAGCAGTTAAAAAGCTTCCACTCTTGACTTAACTGGATCAAATGTAATAGACTACAGTCTTTTCTCCTGATTTCCTTTGCTTGTTTTAGAAAACACTGTGAAAAGTGCAGGAGATTTTGTCTTGCCAGCTCTTTCCTCCATTTAAAATCCCTTTGGCTAAGTCAAGGATCACAGTATGTCATTTCCAGCCTAACAGAAGTGCTGGGCCTTGTTCAGCTCCTATTACTAGGAGGCAAATCCCTAGGTTGCAGGCGCCAGTGTTTCTGCGTTTGGCTCCTTTCCCAGTATTGTTTCCTTCATTACATTCCAGAGTGCCTCTCAGCCAGTTAATGTTTGCACTGGGAGGTCCAAATATCCAGCAATCAGCACTGAACTTTCCTCTTTTTGTTGAGAATTGCAGGTTTCAAACGCAATCACTGGCTTTAAAGAAAAACTTACAGGTGAACACAACAGCGCTAATTTCCATTTTATTCACAAACAGTTATATTTTCTGCAGTTTCTCCATATGCACTCGTAAAAAGCTTCCAAGGAGATGCCTGGTTTTTCCAAGGCTTGTAGGGGCTGGAGCTGTTTTACGGATCGGGGGGTCAGCGCTGCCCTCTCCCACACACCCCACAGCCCATTAACACAACAACTCCCATGCTCAGGCATTATCCGGCTCCTAATAACACAACTGCATTCTCATTTTCTATTAAAAACATAGGGAGCTGAAAATGGATGCACTCATTTGGATCGGAGAAGGGTCGGAGCGTTCGCCCAGGCTCACGCCTCACTCCCGTGAGTGCAGGGTGGGAGGTTCGGTTTCTAAATGACTTCTGCTGTCGTTTAATTTCTAAGAGTACAGACAAGTTGCAGCCTTTTGTGCTGTTTGCATCTATGGCATGGAGGGGATTCATGCGCTGGGTTTTCTGTGAAGTGATTTTCCCATATGTCTGACTGGGGGTGGCTTTGGGTTGCTCCAGGGGCTCCAGTGAGACACACATAGGATGGATGGGCACCCCTGAGAGCAGCACCCTTGTTCTCTCTCCTGCCACCAGAAACTCCTGTAAAGAGCAAGAAAAGTTTCTGTACATGGACAGAGAATAAAACATTTTATTTTTATTTCTTCTATTTTATAATTGTTACTATTTTATTTTATTTTTAGTTTAATTTTAGCTATCTCATCTTGTTATTTCATTTATTATTTATTTATTTACATTCCCTACATTCTACTATCATATCATTATATTATTAAAATATATTTATTTCTATTTACTTTTATTAATGTTTTTTTGTTTATATAAGAGCCTGTATGGTCAGGACAAGTGGAACTGCTTGAACCTGCCCGAGGGGAGACTGAGATGAGCTCTTAGGCAGAAGCTTTTCCCTGTGAGGGTGCTGAGGCGCTGGCACAGGGTGCCCAGAGAAGCTGTGGCTGCCCCATCCCTGGCAGTGCTCAAGGCCAGGTTGGACACAGGGGCTTGGAGCAAGCTGCTCCAGTGGAAGGTGTCGTAACTTATGACAGGGTTTGGAGCTGGGTGAGCCTTAAGGTCCCTCAACCCAAACTAGGCTGGGATCCTATGGTTTTCAGAAGCTGTGTCAGGCTGTACCTTAGGCAGTTTTAGTTGTAATACAGGAAGACTTTTGATAAGGCAGCCCTGTATAGTTTACTTTCCATGGGTTTACTATTAAGTTTCAAGAACTAGTTGTGGGTCATAAGCTCGATTAAGCAATTAAAAAAAGTCCAGAATATTTCCTTGTGGGGAAAGGAAAACGAAAGGTACAGGTTAGGAAATCCTCAGTGTTTTCCATAAAGCCTCTGGCTATGTTTCCACCCATGATCATATGTCATATGGATGGTGTCATTGCCTCCTAAGGGTGCTAGCTCACAGCGATGATATCGAATTCATGGAAGTGTATATGCTCAGAGAGAATACTAATGTTAACTCAGTCTAAATAACAACACTGCCAAAGGAGGAAAGCAAAAGATGAAATACAGTGGATTTCAGGAGGCAACAAGCTCTCATTTATTAAGATCACAGGCATTTTACAGGTTACAAATCATAAAGCAGAAATAACTTCATAATATACAGGTCAGGAATGTGCCTGGGATATTGAGGAACTATTTCCTTGGCAATAATCTGCCACAGATAGTCAGAAGCGTGCATTTTCTGGCACAACAAATCATTGCTGATTAATTTTGTCTGCCTTTGTCTCAGGGAAGCAACGAGACACTTCGCTGTGTATTTTGCACTTACTCTACTTCCGTGCTATTCTTTCTCAATGCATAATTTTTTTTTTGCAAGATAGGCCAAACACAATACTCTTTGTTTTACCTCTTTGACATCATTTTTTGCCTGAGCACAGCCTGTCTGCATTCAGGGATGTTACATGTGCAAAGCTGAGGTACATCATCTGTGGTAGCCCAACCTGCAGGGTGATACCGGAGGATGTATTCAGTCCCCAGGAGCAGGAGAGAGGAGCATCCCTCCTCTGCCACCGCTGGTATTGTTCCCATCTGTGCCACTGCTGAGGAGGTGTAGAAGGGTGCCTTCGTAATAGACACAATAACAGCAGCAACAAACTGGGATATTTTCTTCTGTGCTGGCACTCAGCAGCAAGTCCCAGGGTGGGTTGTGTAAATCAAAGTAAGAAGAGAAACTGGAGTTCTTGCTTGAGGAGCAGCAAAGCAGGGCTGGATGCAGCTGTGAAGTCGAGGGAAGGGCTGCACGGCACTGTGGCATCTTTCCCCACGCTTTATTTATTGCATCCTAGAGGCAGCAGGGCTGGATGGTGGTCTGCCTCATCGGCCTCATGTAGGAACTTCACAGCATCCCCAGAAGGACAATAGATATGATAAATGCCAAAGGCAATGTCAAACCCCATAACTTTCCTAATATTAACTTAATATTCACAGCTATTAAACATCAACAGATCAGAAATGGAGTATCTCCAAAGCAGGTGTAAACTTCCCTGGGCTCCCTGTGCTGTTGGTGTGAGACAGCAGTGTGTGTTGCTATCCCTGAATATGCTCTTCACTTTCTCAGAGTATTTGTACTTCTGATAGAGATTCTCCATTCCAAATTGGTTATGATGAGTCAGTCTGAAATGGAGAGACTTGTGAGATAGGTGTGGTTTGTCAGGGCTCAGAAGAACACACGCAGGAAAGATTCATTGCTTTGATGGACAAACAAGGAGCAGAAATGTCCAGAGGAGGGAGATTCGGGAGATACAATCATCAGGGGAAGGCATTCCCATGGGAACAGGTGGGGGCAATAGTGCCCTTTCAAAACTGTAATTGTAAGGTAACCAAAAAGCTTTATGTAATGGTTTGTGAGCACTACAAGATTTGGAGAGAAAGATGAATTCTGCTGCTTAAATGCCTTAAACACCCTTCATAGTGCACAGGCTCCTTAGTTCACAGCAAGGGTAAGTCAGAATCAGATTTTGGGGACAAAATATGAGCCCTCCTGCAGAACAAGATCTGGTGATATAAACCACCCACCACCTGCATGATGGATCAGCCCTTTGAGTCCTTTGGTCAATACATTGGTCAATACCTGACCAGAAAGGCTCGTGGGCTTGACTTATCCTCCTTAGCTGAAGCTGGGTTGGTTTTTCTTGTTTCAGGTATGGCAGCATCTCCAGAAGTCTTCCCCCGCCTCCATATCTCCCAAATGAGATAAAACTAATGAACCCCGACCATGGGCGCTGCTGCCTGAGAAGCGCGGATGGGGAAGCCTCTGCTGCTGTCACGGGTGGCTGCAGCAATTCCCAGTGCTCCTTCGTGCTTTGGGAAAGTAGAGGAGATTTTCATGGAAGAGCTTCCTAACTGGGGCTGATAGAAACCTGGAGAGGTGGCTCGTTTCTCTCTTTACCCAGATTATCTTCCATGCGATTGAAGTCATCACAGAAAATAGCTTTGTTGTTACAGCTTCTGTCGTCAATACTCGCCTCCTATTTGCATTCCCAGAGCTCCCACCTTCATCCTCATCACTTCCTCTCTTCAGAATTATAACAAAACCAAAACCAATGTGTTCATTACATTTCCTCCAATTCCAAAAAAAAAAAAAACCTGAAAGAAAACAAACAGCGAGCAGATGCTGATTTCCTCACTTAACTGCACATATTTTATAGTAATTCTCTCTGATTTTCTCCCAAGACACCCACCTGACCTTCGTTTCTCTCCAGTCTCTCCTAGTAGTGGCCAAATGTTGCTAATCGTGTAAGATTCAGCTCATGGAAATAGGTTGCAACTAAGAGAAATTTACCCTTTGACCTTAATGCCTTTGCATGCACAATAGAGACCAAGACAAGTCTTTGCTAAAAGGAATGCATTTTTCTTGGCAAAACCTGATTCTTAGACCAAACCAAATTAATGCTGTGAAGAGAATTCATTTTTGCTGTTTCACAAAAGCAACACAAAAACAATAATTCAGTGATTTGAGAATGAAGAATGGCAAAACACATTTTCCAAGAATTTTCAAGGAACTAAAAATGGATCATAAATATCATCATAAGTATTTTTGCTTCTCTCTACATAACCGAGAGTGATTTCCAAGCATGAATTAATTTAGAATTAATGCACTGTGATGAAGCAGGGATTAGTTAGCCCAGAATTTTTCGGAGTTGTCCGTAGACAATTTAGTTGGGAGAGCATCTCCACAGCGCATCCTTTTCCATTTCTGGTGGGAGCTGAAAAATCTCTATGGTAACTAAAACAATAATCTACAGAGGAAAAAAGAGAAAGTTTGGAAAACTGTTGAAATGAATTTCAGCTGCCTTTGTGATCTGAAAATAAAGAGGAGGCTCCACATCATCCAAGCAGTCAGTTTTTCGTGCATCACCAAGTCCTTTGCAGGGCATCACTCAGCCATGACCGGTTCAGGCACATTTTTAGCTGGACGGGCTGAGATGCAGTGAGCTGAAGTGAAGTGTCTTGCTCACACACCAAATCTGTTGCAAGACCTGGGAACAGAACTTCCTTGCTTTTCCCATCCACAAAGAGCAAAGCTTATATTTTTCAGTCTAGATTACTATTTTCTTTTTTGGATTAAGGAAAACAAATGTGAGAGAGAAAGAAAACTGGTGACTCATTGCAGTTTCTTTGCTGAAACACAGCTGCCCTTGTCACAGGAACATGATTCTTAGAGCCTGCATCCAAAATTTATTGCAAAATAAAACTGGAACTTTTAAAAACAACCAGGCTAAATGATGTTTCTAATTCTCTTTTAATACGTATTTGTGAGTGCAGGTCCAGGCTCCAGCCAGGATCAAGGGTAGGGCTGGAAACTCAAGAGGAACTAAGTTCTTGTGAAATGTTCAGGCAGATTTTGCAAACCCACACAGACTGCATTGGCTGGACAAGCTGCAGAATTAAATATGTGTTTTTTAAAGCTGTGATGCTTCTGGACCTTCTGGGATTCCTTCAGTGACAGGTCAATATAATAGCACCCACACCACCACCCAAAGGTAGTATTGAATCTGTTCTCGGGTATTGTTTTGGTGGTGTGCAGTAGGTCCTGAATCCAATGAACCCAAATCAGGAAACAAAAAGACCACGTACACGTGTAAAACTACTCCTAACTTCAGTGGTGCAATCTCTCCATTCTAGGAAAAACATTTCTTGCTTTGTTAAAGCCTTTCTGCTTTCAGAACACTAAGATCTTATGTCTGACTTGCTTAACGTTGAATTGCCACCTCTCTGATGTTAATAATTAACTCATTAGCTAAGTGCCATACTTACATATATTAGGGGTAAACCTGCCTCATTCAGGAAACCTGCTCAGAAGCAACAATCACTGGTTGGAGGAGTATCTCATAAGCCTAAAGCCTGAGCTTACACTTAAATAAGAGTTACACAGTTTCCCCTGCACAGTGCCTTACAGAGAAGGGAAAAAAAGTATTAAAGGGAATCAAGAAGAGGAATGCTTCTGAAACACCTTTTACTCATCCTGAGTAAAATAGAAGGAAAAATTTGCCATGTGAGTAAGCCAGGTGTGATCAATATTTGCAACCTCCCATTCATTTAATAGGCAAGCTCAGTAAGAAAAATGTGCAGAAGGTATACAGAGAGAGAGTGCAGAGGAATGTGGAAGATGGGAGGGAGAGAAAGATGACCTGGTTTTGCTTCCAAGCTAATTTTACATCACATTAACTATATTTAGTTGCATTTCTCTTTAATAGGGTTGCAACTGTTGGACTGAGATTTTTATTGTTGTTTTCTGAGTAATTTAAATTTCCAAGAGTTGGTGGTTGTTGTTTTTTTTTTTTTTGTTTGTTTGTTTTTTCCCTAAGACTTCATGACCTTCTTCCATGAGTTTATTTTAGATATAGTGGAATGTCCCAGAGAAAATTCCAAATGGTCCTTAATATATGAAATGTTTCCAGAAAGGAGAAATTCTCAGTGGACTATGAAACTATTTTTCAATCATGGTGTATGGCACACAAACCACATCTGAGTTTTTTTTTCAGTAGGAAACTATTGCCCAGTGGGTTAAAAGAAAATAAAGGATAATGGGATTTTTCCGTGAGGCTGGAGCTGTTCACAGGGGTTTCCTCCCCACTAGATGTCACTGGAACTGTTTGAAATGTTTGGAACAAACAACCCCAAATTCCCCAGGTTTTGAGCTTTCTTACAAACACAAGACTTGGACCAGGTTGCTTTCAAGCTCTGCTTTGGCTCATGAGCTTTGTAAGGGAAGCCAGACTGATAGATGTTAATCATGAGAAGTTCATGGTTTGGCATGTATTTGGGGAAAATGCATGTGAAACTCCTGAAATTTGGCATTGTGCGTGGAAGTTTTGCCCTTCATTGGGAAAACCAAATGGAATCCAAGAAAACACCTGGACACGGTTACAGTTTGGTTGGAAGGATTCAAGCAAAAAGCATGGTCCTGCAGAAAACATGTTGCACCTTCTTCAGGGACAACCATATCATGAAGTGCCACTGGGGTTTGAGCCATCATCAAATCCACCATAAAGAAATAACAGATAAATAAAGTCTGACATCTTTTGCCATTCAATTTTCCATGCTGTCCTCCTCAGCAGCGCCAGTGTTCACCCCATGCCGCTAAGGAAAGCTGCACCTTCTCAGATTATTTGGGCTACTATTTAAATTCTCCTTGTAGTTCCAATTGACTACAGGAATCTTCTTCCATTCTTATTCAAAATTCAGTTTAGTGTGATTATGTGGCCATGCATCAAATATGGCAGTATAATATGTCCTTTCATCTACTTGCCATAATACATCCCTTTTAGTGCCACATAAATCCCTGAAAATATTGCTGTCTTCTGCTCTTGAGATTCTTCATGTGCCTCTTTGCCTTACTGCTTTCCTCTTCTATTGTTTCTCCAAGCTGAATTAATTCGCTCTTGGGGGGGGGGCCCCCCCCCCCCCCCCCCGCTGCTGTGCTCTTGCTACTGCTTCTGAGCAGACACCGATGAAACAGCAGCCTTTCCAGAGCCAGAAAGGAGCCAAGAACAGCCCAGCTGTTGGCACGGCAGCATTCCCAGGAGCGCCAGCGCCTTGGCTCTCGGCTCACGGATGTGGCTGCTCCAAATCGCTCCATCTCCTCCTGCACAGGCAGCAGGGAGCAGCTCCTGGCTGGCAGTGCCTGCTGTCAGCAGACGTCCTCGCAGAGCTGAGGAAGCTGTGATTGAGGAATTACAGCAGTCAGCGTGGTGCTCCTGATCCTCCCAGACCAAAGCAGCGCCCCAGAAAGGGTTTCTGCTTTGCTGCAGGACTCGCTGGTGTGCTGCTGCTGGGAGACCCACCGGTACCATGGAGGTTCTGAGCACTGCCCTGGGGTGCTAAAGAGCTGCTGTTACTTCCAGTGGCAATTTAACCCATGCGTATGAGTTACATTACAACAGGATGGATTTATTTTATGTAGGCAGCTACAAGCAGGCACCAAATACCACGAAGCTCCTTCCATCCGCAAAAGTGTAAGCTTTGCATCAAAACACTGACGTCTGCTTCTTCTTCGTTGAAACTCTTCTTTCTCTAAGATTAATACATCTTCATCATGTTGGCTCCTCACCTTGCTTCAGACAGGCAATGGAGGGCACCAGCCTGGCCATGCCTCGTGTTCCCATGTACCTGCCTGGCTACCCTCCTGTGTTTCACAGAGCACACACCAGCTTTGCCTTGTTAATTGATTAGTAACCTAATTGTACCAATTCGGCATAATCCCCGGTAAGCATAATTGACTTATGTGGAGCAAACGCAACAAAAAAAGGGTGTATTTCCATATACTTCTTCTGTATTATGTCGCTGTTACATTAAGCCAGCAAACTTTCAACCTCCTCAATATTCAGTAAATTTAAGAAAATGAATTGAAGATACTTGCTTATTTTAATATGTACTCCTGAAGACATTTTCCAATTCTTTTTATGGTTTAATTAAAGCCTTATGGCAATGGTATGCTTCTTTCTACCTACTATGCCAGTGGTTAAAAATTACAAGGCTTCAAGTACCCTGCATGCCTTTAATTGCTCTGCTGAAGATAAAAGAACAGCAATATTTTTATCACAACCATTACAGCAGGCAAAATTAAAAATGCCCCTTACTCATGTGAGCAGAGCAAGTCCATATCTCCCACACTGCCCCTGCCCCATGCCTGCATCCCACCGCCCCACTGGTGTCCGCACTTTAACTCCATTTCACAGCCTGTTTAGGGGAGCATTTTGTTCTGCTGCATGCCCCAATGAGCAGAAGAACTTCCCCACCCCATTTCTTAACATTAAAGCAGAATAAAGTGTAGAAATCTCTAAATTAAGAAAGTACTTGAAGAGTACATTCAGCACAGGACAATGCAGAGGAAGGTTACAAGTATATTAGGATGAGGGCACCACAATTATATGAAGAAGTCTGGAGAGAAAAGATTACATTGTTCTGACAACAACATTTTTCAAACATTTAGACCTTTAATATCATTAATTTAAAGTACAAGATTAAATATTTTATGCAAATATTAGACAACAGCAAAGAGCTCCGCATATTAGGATTTAAAACAAATTGAAAGCATGCAAGACATATTCATTTCTTAAGCAGTTTAGTTAAAAAATCGGTATTGTCTCTATTAGGATTAACTGACAGTAACTCTTTGTGTTCAAATGGATTTAACTTCACTGTGGTTTGTTTTCCAGATATCATTGTCCTCCAATAATCGTGGATAAAGGGAAATGTAAAAGGACAGATCAAGTAAAAAATATATCTTCACATCATAAACACAGAATTATGTTTAAATTTCATTACTAAATGGGATTTCAGCTTCATATACCATGCCTAATCCCACACTATAAAAGATGTATAAAACCTCCTGACAAATTCTAACAGACTTTGTGGAAGTTGCATATATTGATTAAAACATCAAGCAGTTACATACAAACCAATAATGAATTACTTCTTGTTGGAAGATAAAACTTTGTGATATTTAAAATTACAGACTTGAAAGTAAGTAAAATTACCCCTAATTATGCAGAAGGGAGCAACACCTTAGCAGTAAACAAGATAAGCACCTCAAACAGCACTAATAATTTTAATTAACATTTCCTAGTTTCCTTTCACCTCCTCTCAAGGTCATCTGCTACCTTTTCCTTGTGCAACATTACAGCACGGTGTTAAAAACTTACATTCCATTACTAATCACTTTGATAAGCCAAAGAAAAAAATACTTTCCAGGAAAGATTTTTATTTTAAATCACTTAATTGTGTGCGAAAACAAATATTGCATTGGGTAAAGCTGTCGAGAAAGCTTTTGCAGTGAATTGCTATCAGACATCAGATTCCAACAGCTGGGATTCGGTCGCTCATTTGGGGCCTGATTCTGCACACCAGAGGCAAAATTCCTCTGGGAGCTCTGCAGAAACCCATTCATATTTCAGGTATAAATTTAAACATTTGGATTATACCCAAACTGTTGAATATTCAGATCGTAATCAAAGTTCAAAAGACTCCTAAAGTGTGAACACTGAAAGGGAAAATTTGGCAAAATGTGATAATCTACACAGTATTTCTGTTATTTTTTTTCCTTGAGCACCAATTAATAAATGTACATTCAAGATTTATGATTTTGCTGAAATGTTTCTTTTCTAGAAAGTCCAAAAGTTGGTAGGAAAAGGGCTTTGTTATATCAGTGGGTTTGTTCCATGCCACAAATTTAATGTACGAGGTCACTTGGAATATAATGTGTAGTGAAAGAATCTCATTAGGCTAAAATGAATGTAAAATGTGTCAATTTGATCCAAATGAGAACTGTAGTAAAACCATGTTTGATGTTCATGTGCAATAAATCTTTAACATTTGTCTGTAAAGTATTAGAGAACCCATAGGGAAATCTCTATTTGTGATAGCTGCACATTTCCAATGATTTTTCCTATAATCCTTTGTTGACATTTAGCATATGGTAACAGAAAAGAAGATCCTAAAATGAGAATTGTTACTTATTATTCTAAGGTAAACAAGATGGACACCTTGCATGTAGGTTTCTGAGAATGATGAGATTTATGAAAGCATCCCTCCATCAGGAGCTCATCTTTCAGTCCCTCCTCAGTGAGGAAGTATGACATCAAAGGTGCCCTACCTGGCCGTTAGTCAAGTCAATGTTAAACTGTCTGATGGCCTCATCCTGCCAGTTGGGCTTTATTTTGATATATTCATATTGTTAATTACTGTTGTATTTCAATTTTCTCTCTAGTATTTTTGTTCATTCATAATAGCTTTACGGTTCAGTGGACCGAAATGACTAAAATGAAAGATTTCCAAGATTTCTTCTGGGAGTAATTTACAAAAGACCACAATTTTTTAATTGCTCCTGATGTTTAGTTCTGGATATCTGGAAAAGGAGAAATCAGCCCAACTCTTTTAGTTGCCACACCAGCCGTATCTGATATGTATTTTTCTGATCACTCTCAATTGCTTTGTCCCTTATTTTTAAAGCTGTGTTATAGCAGTGTCATGGTGTTTATATTTCTGCAGCTCACACTTGCTTTTGCAAGAGAATTACGAGCTATTTATGTCCTTTGAGGAGGCTCAGGGAATAATGGGTGAAATGTCAGAAACAATTAAGAAAAATGGAGGCATTTCATTTAACCAGTAGAAGAAATACATAACTTTTGCTGAATGGCTGGACTTGAAGTGCCACCAGATTGTTACAATATGAGTTCTGGCTACCGATTATCACAAAGTTTTATATAAAAAAAAACCCAACCTTACAACACTTGCATGCCAAAGGTTGCAACACAAGCTTTGGCAGGAAACACGAAAATGCTCCAGCATGGGAAAAGTCTTAGAGCAAACTTGCATCTGTGCTGATTTACGTTTTTACGCCGAAGCAACAGCAGCTTTCTGAAGCCAAGGCATGACTTTATGGCTGTAGTAACAATACTCGCTGGGAAGCTGTGCAGCATCAGCCCAGCCATGCCCTGACAAACCCTCTTCCCCATGTTCCCCCCCAACCACACCAGCCGTTTTTTTATAGCATTTGTCCATCTCGTTATTGCTGTGCAGGCCCTTTATCAATAAATGTGGTGTTCTCGGTCGAGTTTTCTTTGGCTTGCAGTCTGCTTTACAAAACCACTGCATACTTGACAGTTTGCCCTAGTTAAGAATTCTTTGGTCAGAGAAAGCCTGGAGAATGAAACAGTATCTGGTGTTGTAAAATCTTGACCAGATTCTGAAATATTGCCTAAGCCCCTGTCAACTCGAAGGTGATTTCTCCAGGTCATGGTTTAGAGGGGAATTGATGGTACAGTCTGCTGCCTGCTCGGTCTGCACTATATCTTTTTCAGGAGTGCACACAGTCACCTTTAGCATTCACTGCTTTCCAATCCTCTCTATTTTTGACAGTACATTTACTTCCATACATAGATTACAAGCCACACATAGGGAAACCAATCCAGACAAAATGCCTATCTGTTTACTGCTTTTTCATTCCTCTATATGCAGGATTATCAATTACCTAATAACCCTGGGAAAAAAATCCACCTGAGGCTGAAGTAGGCATAGTAATAATACCCAGAGCTACACCAAACCACCAAACTGATCACCCCAGCTCCCACAGTGCTATTCTGATGGTGTCAGGTCCATTATCCAGCTTTTACAACTGAAGAAACTGAGGCACAGGCAAATGAAAGGTCTGGCAAAAGTAAATTTGATATACAATACAAATCCCGTTGCAGTGCCTTTCCTGTCCAAACACCGTCAGGGGGACCAAACTCATGACATGTCTAGCAGCTGTGAAATGAAAACCCATGACTAGTGATAGAAAGCCTCTAGTAATATATATATATATATATATATATATATATATCTCCTTTTCTGTTATAATGTCTAACTGAGCTTGCAAATTAAAAGGCTGTTGGTAAACTTTTAATATTCTGACTATTAGCTCAGAGTAATTATAGTGTTTCCATCAACAAGTGCTTAATATAGTTTAAAGCATCTGGTAAAAATTGTTCTGAAACAAAACACAGACTAGATCGTCCAGCTGTATAAATTATAAATCATTACATTAAAATAAGTTCCCTATATTTATGACACAAGCTCTGACTGTTCTAGTTTTGTAAGGTATTTTCCTGAAGGCAAATTACAGCAGACTTACCCACTCCTTCCCTTGGAGAAATTGGGTTGGCCCCAGTAAAGCCAATAAACCTTCCAGTTTGGTGACAACTCCTATGGTCTTAATTAGAAAGAAAAAGACCTAGTTCTGCATTTTCCTTATTAACCCCAGGCTTTTTTTGTACTGCATTGCTACTCGTCTTAAATCTTCAGAGCTTCATCCATTTCTGGACAAGCTAGGAATGCCTGAAGGACAAACTGTGCAGACCTTTGGAGTAAGATATCACTGTGGGACTGGTTGGCATGTGCTGACTCACTGATAGTTTGGTTGGGTTGCGTTGTGTCAAGTTTGGTTGACTTGGTTCAATTTTGGCTGTTCAGGTTGGATTAAAAACATTCATGATGCTTGAACTTCTAGATTGATATTCAAGGACTTTTGTCTTTTCTTTGGGTATTGACTCAACAAAGCCACTGCATTGGTGTGGCCATAGGAGCGGGGGCAGCCCAGGTTGTCCCACACATCCCTCCTGACCCCATCTCCTGGGGGGGCCAGCCATGGGAAATTAAAACTGCATCCACTGCATGAACTCCTCAATGGTGGTGGGATGCTGCTGTCAGGACATGATGTTCCTGGGAGCAGAGACTTTCCTCATTTGGCTTTCCAGGCATTGGCACCAGCGGATCAGGCACGTTTCCTTTAATATTCTTATTATTTCTTTTTCCTTGGCCTCCTTTTATTCCCCTCATTTTGAAACTCTTCACAGCCTTTCATCAAATGCTTCTGACAAACTCAAAGAGTATCTAAAATGTGCACTAATAATTTAGTACTGTAATTTTATGGGTATTTTAAAGTTCCCGAGTATTACTATTATTTTATGGAATGATTTTTCCTCCTTTTCCTTGGTTTTTCTTCCTATGTTCTTTGGTGGAATTATAGGTGAAATGTATTTCTTGGCTGCTGTTTCCTCTTTTGTTCATACAGTTAAATATTGCACTAGCTAAAGATTGCACGAGGCCCCCACATTAAAATTTTATTGTATTTTTGTATTTATTTTTGGCCCGGATCTGGGGGCCTCTCAGGTCCAGGTCTTGTGTAATTTTATTGGCTTGTGGGTGGAGGAAAGAACAAAAATGAGGTTTGTGGCCAGAATGTTATCTTTGGCTATGTACATCTGTTGGGGGCCTGATTCTGCTCTGAGTCATAAGCATGTAATTCTCAAGCAGCTCCACTGAAAATGAAAAAGGTAAAGTGATGTAAATTAGAGGAGAATTACCTCCGTGGTGCATGTGATGTAAGCATTTTGCTATGTATGATTTAGTTGGGAGCTGTTGACTAGACTCTCTAAAGATAAGAGCCACCTATAACTCAGTTGCAGGCATCTTTTTCCCTTTTCAACTAATGTCTGTGAGCTAAACCAGAGATTAAAACCAATTTTTTTATGGGCTGTACTAGCTACAAGTACCAAAGCTAAGACTACAAAACTCATCAACCTCAGAACAGCAGCTGAATTTTGGCAACCTCTCCCTTGAGTGAAAAACACCTTATTCTACCCTACTTCCATGTCAAAAAAACTGTTGAATTCAAGTACTAAAATCCAAGGATTTCAGCCTTAATCACTTCTTTTTACAAAATAGTCTTCACGTGACCATTACTTAGTGAGTGGCTGCCCATCCTCTGGAGTCTTCCCTGTGTGTTCAACGGCTCACCAGCATGAGTCATGGCCATTGCAACCTACACTCCTTCCTGCCTGGTTCACTTCCATCACCACAGCCTCTTTCCTCCCCAAAACCTGTCTCTCCCTCTCTTCTTTGCATATTTCTTTATGTCAGGTCTTTGGCTTGGAAATGACTTCTCCTGTGAGCCAAACCTTCTTATTCTACACTTTAAAATCCTTATGAAATTTGGCTTGCTTTCCAAAGCTAAGCCTCAGCTCCCTTGTTACTCTTCTAAATATAAAACATTTTTATTGCATTAAGCCATGTTGAAAAGAAAAGAGAAAAAAAAAAAAAAAAGGAAAAGAGAAGAAAGAAAATCCCTGCATCCAATGTGAAGGCAGCAGCCTACATTACATAGCAGAGTATCACATGCCTTTTTGTTTTGCCTTGGTATCATCTTGCTTGCACAAGCTTTGAGCTTACTATCGGTATTCCTCCTTGAGTATCTCCCACACTGAAAAACCACTTTACAGTCATCACTTAAGGAGTTCTTTCCAGGCTGAACTGGAGAGATTTGGAAATGAGAAATCCCGTTCCACTATTGATCATGCTGCATCTCATTCTAAAGAGAAAAGTTTTCTAGGGAATTCATTTGGTTCCTTTCGATTACATTAAACTTTGTTTCCTTATACAACTTACTCAGCCTTTGAAATTAGTTATTTATATTTTGTGTGCGATTAATTCATTATTTCAAATGTAATTTTAATAATTCCAACAAAGAAGTTTCTTAATATTCCCAATAATGGCTCTTGTCACTTTAAATATTAAAATTCACATTAGGAATTCCCCTGACT